TGACAATAGAACTAGTTTCTGGTTGTGATGTATTGTCATCTGATGTTCTGTTTGTTATCTGCTCCAAGACTGAGGAAACAACCTGAGACACAAGCAGGCTTTCTGCAGAAGGACTGACTCCTGTCTTTCCCTGGGGAATCTCTCTGTCCAGCTCCCTCTGGACTGTCAGCAGCACAGCACTCACAGCCTCTTTGGCATAACTCTTCAGCTCTGTCTCTGTCTGCTGAGTGTCCACTGGAGCTGAAGGAAGCCCATCTCTGACCACTGAGCTAACAGAGCTCAGGGATTCTGGGGAGGATTCAGAAAAGGTCTGAATGCTGAGAGATTTTAGTTGCTGCAGCTTCTCTGTGACACTCCTGACAATGTCTGTGGCGATCATGTAGATCTTTGATGGAGTGAAGACTGTATTCGACTCAACAGTCCGCACAGCAGGGCTGGGCAGCTGACCTGCGCTGTCAGAGTCTTTAAGACTGGTGGCAGAGGAGGAAGTGGAGGACTCAATCTTCCCAAGAACAGTGTCAACGACATCAGAGGCCACCAGGCTGAGCAGAGAGTCTGAGGGCGATTTCATGGATATTCTGGTTTGGCTGGAAGATGTAGTCATAGTTGGAACAGTAGGTATTGAGAGAATTAATTGATCTACTGCCTTTTCAATAATTTCCAGGACTGCTTGTTCTGCTTGCCTGATAATGGTGGATCTGGATGGTTTTAATATGTTTTGAGTTTCTCTAAATTCATTCTTTGAGGCTGCAAGATCACTCGATTTTTTTAAGCAAGTCAAGGTAAGTACACTGCTATGGCTACCAGTGGCACTGAGCTTTGTCCCTGACGTGCCACCGTCACACTCTACAAATTCTAAATTGTCCAACACTGAAGATGCCATTTCAGAGTAGAGTATCCATTCTTCAGAGCAATTGTTCGCTGTTTTGTGCAGAGCTTGACTATCTTTCTCATTCTGGACCGTGTCTAGGATAGCACCTACAACTTTCTTTGCAAAGCTGTTCAGGGTCAATTCCTCTTTCTGAAAACCTGAGAGACTGGTTTCTGCCAATTCCTGTTCTTTTCCTTCTAACTCACCCTTGACCGTGCACAGAATTGCACTCACAATCTTCTTTGCATAAGTGTTTATTCCTGACTCTTGCTGCTGAGAACCCTGTGCCACTGTGTCAGGCTCACCTGCAGTCAATGAGCTTGCAGAGGTCGAAGCTTGGGAAGATGAGTATGACAAGGGCTCAGTCTGACAAGGCATTAGATCCTGCAGCTTCTCCACGACACTCATCGTGATATCATCACAGAGGGTGTTGATATGTGATGCTGCAAAGGCTACTTCAGACGGAGTCTTCCACACTGTAGATTGGTGCTGGACACCCCCACTTTCAGAATCCTTTATACTGGCATCACCCTGAAATAAGTTAGACTCTGTTGAAGATAGAGCCTGCTCAACTTTACAAATGACCGTGTCAACAACATCAGAGGCCACTGCACTTAGCATAGGTTGCTGTGCCAGAGAATTGGAGAGCGAGGTGTTGATTCTGGCTTGACTGGGTGACTTGGCCGTTGTTGGAAACCCAGGCCCTGCAGGGGTTAACTGGTCTATTGCGCTTTTGATAATATCCACAACTACATGTTCCGCTTGTTCAATAATGTTGTGTCTGGACAATCCTAAGATGCCTCGAGTTACTCCAGACGCAACTGTAGGGTCTTTGTGCTCAGATGACTTTCTCCAAGCAGCAGTCTCCAAACTGGACCTTTCCCTTACTGGCACACAGATTGGCTCGAAAGTATTGCCTTCACTTCCAGGAGAACTGAGCTCTGCTTCTGCAACACTGGCATGTGAAATATGTGGCACCGTTGCATCAGTAGGACCCATTGCACACAGAACACGAACAAGGTCAGTGGTGATCAGGTCAAGGTTTGAAGTGGATACCCAGGTTCCTGGGTGTTGTGTCTCAGGGTTGGAAACAATTTGCACAGGTAGCAGAAAATCTTTCAGAGGACTGTACGTTGTCACCGCTGCGCTGGGCTCGAAACCAGCTGGAGGTTGTTCGGCAAAGCAGTCTGCTTCCTCTTGAAGTCTCTCAGTCTCAGAGCGCACAAGCACGCACTCACCGGTATCTCCTGACTGGACGGATTCATTTGGCCAGTGTTCACATTCAGCACTTATAGGATCACTCCTCTCTGTTTTGGGTGGACAAATAAGATGGATGTTTTTGGCAAGTAAAGTGCTTTCTAAGTTGTCCAGCACTGCAGACACAATGTTAATAGTCACCTGATTTGCCTTCAGGGACCCTATCCTGAATCTCCAAGGTGAATCTGGGGCTGCTCCCCTGCCAGACTCACTTTTAACCCCATTCAGGATGACACTGATAATCTCTGCTGCAAAGTCTCCCAACGCCGACTCCATGTCCTCTGCTTCGCCCTCTGAGGACGCCACAGGCTGCAAGCCATCCCTCTGTCCGCCCAGCAGCTTGCAAGCAGATTCTCCCACGTCAGATAGGAAAGGATCCAGCTTCTCGGAAACGTCGCTGATGGCCCGGGAGTCCGATGGGTCAAAGCTGTCAGCATCCTGAGCGGAGGCCAGGGAGGTAAGAGAGCTCCTCACTAGCCCTCTCGCCGACTCCGTGAGCCTGTCCCTTAGGAGAGCCGAGTTCACGTGGTCAATGACGGTGTCCACGATTTCGGAGGACAGGACGTTCGCTTTGGGATGGCTGATCACCCGTCCTGGGCTGGCTAGCATCGCCTCTTGCTCGGCCTCGCTGCGGGCATCTGAGCCGAGGGTCACAGCCTGCTCAAGAGCTTGCGACACCACGCTCTCCACCTTCGCCATGATGCAAGACCGAGAGCTTCCCAGAATCTCCTTTAAGCAAAGCAGGGCCCCATTCTCCATCACTCCTGCCCCGCCAGCCCCACCAGCCTCTGACCTGGCCAAGAGGGAATCATCAGCAGATACCTCTTCCCCAGCTTCCGGCATGAGGCTTTTCTGAACGGACGTGGAAGACAAACGACAGAAGAATGAATGGAGTGAACCCAGCTGTGCCACCTGGTCCATCGAGCGTAATTCTTCCATCTTTTAACAAGTAATGAGACACACGATACACTACGATTTTGCATTCCTACAGCTGGAATATCACAGATTTCTCTACAGTAAAGTACACAGGATGGTCTCTCCTGAAAATATCAAACTATTTAAAGCATACTTCAGAAAATCAGCTGTGCACTGGTGTATTAACAAGAATGCCACAAAACAACCTCGAAGCCTTGGCTGCTAAACTACACTGACAATTGCACACCACACCTTAGATGTCTCATTATATTTCAGTTTCAGTACTCCGATTTCCTTAGAGATCTTAGGTAAGAAACAGAAGACATTATCAATAGAATCTAGATGTTCTTGCTGAATTTACCTTTAAATGAAAGGTGATCAAATCAGTTTATCCTCTGTTGTTTAACGATACAGAAGGTGGCTTAGAAATGATCGGTTCTGGCTGATGCTGTGCTTCATAAACATTATTGCCACTGTGGGAGCCACTTCGAGACTTTAAATAAAAACCACTTTCAATAAGAAAAAAAGACAACTCACTGTTCCATAAAGGGTTTCTTCAATGCCTCCATGTCTGCAAACATACAAAATAAATGGGTTTGGTTACATGCACAACAACATCCTCCTACTAGGATGCAGCCATATGTCTGTCAGGGATCGTAATTCCTCCAGATTGAATTTTTTTAGGAGCTTTATTGTATAAATACTATATCAAAAATAATTCAAGTACAGTTTCTTGTGTGTTCTTATTGCAGAACATAAACTTCCTGCACCAGAACCACAATATGCTTGAGGCACAACAGTGTCAGTGTAACATCTAGTGTTAGTGTTAGAATAGCATCAGTATGTCAACAGCATCAGCAGCTCTGGCACCAGTGTGCAGTGGACAATGAAGCTGCTGCCACCTTTACAAGTTTTTGTCTACTCAGATGTTGGAGATCTAGAGTTGCTTACGAAACGCGACATCGAAAAAACAACAACCAACATGTTCAGGGACTAAAAACAGTCATGTTCAGAGTTCAAATTCTGGGTCCAATTTTAGGTCGCAGTTCAGTTCAGCCCTGCCACACACTCTTCTCAGCCCCTGCGGACAGCAGTTAGGACTCACGTGTCGGAGAGCTGGTGGACGACAGAGGGCTGGCGCACCGAGCCCGCGTTCAAGCCTCCCTCGGACACCGAAGACGACTCCGACGTCACTGCCCAGAAAGAGGCGTTTCATGATCAGAATTCCACCACCAGCAGAGAAACAGAAGGGTGGGCTGAACCAGAGCGTCCTAATCTGGACTCTGGAGTAGCACCGTGTCCGTTCATTCCAGGTGAGCGTTACATCCCCGGTGCTCGCCAATGACAAAACTGATCTGGGCGCTTGTGTAGACACAGTGCTTTTCCCTGACCAGGATTTAACATACCAAACACAACACTGGAACTCCACCGGCGATGCTTTTAAACCTCTGTTGAATCCTCCCATGAAAAGCAGGAGAACGTCAGAACGGCACTATACACATCGACATGATCTTTAGTGATTTTTAATGAAGCCTCACCAGTGCACAACAACACTGTGTGATTCCTTTCCAGGACGGCGCGGCTCACCTGACGTGCTGATATGCAGAAAGGATGCTTCCCGGCTGTCTGTCACCTCCTCATCCTTCCTCGTCACCTTCTGACATAAAAACACCACGTGCTTTTGTAGGCAAGACACACAAAGCACTCATTTCAAGAAGAACGAATGTATGGAATGCAGTAATCAGGAATCCAACAATAAATATCTCTGGGATGTAATGAAATGAGCCAGAAAAGTTCTGGTGGGAACCTTCTTGATGTTTATTTTTTCTCAAGTGCCGGGATGACAAGCTGATCCTGCAGATGGCTTCTTGGACACAGAGATGTCGGCCTCAATCATCAGCTCCCACCCAAACCTGATCGGCTAAAGAAACAGCAGCAGCTGCCGGCTCGCTGGCCAGACCCGGAGCACAGCTGAGCCCCGATTTCTGCGCCCCTGATCCCTGATCCTGCTGCTGCAATTCCAAGAAGAGACGGGGAGGGGAGAACGACGCCCCAGCGCTCGCAGGCTCACTTACAACTGTCGTCCTGCTGTGGCCGATCTTCTCGCCTGCCTGACGGAGATGGGCCGGAGCCTCGTCCGGACGCGGAGGGGGGCTGCTCGGGGGCCGGGAGGTGCAGCGGTCTTTGGGGCACCCGGCGCGCTGGCCTGCGGACAGGTTCCACAGTCCTGTCAACCCAACAGGAACCGCACCTCGACCTCACTGCTGCTGGATGCCCTCATTATCTTTTTTTAACCATTTTTGAACTATGAAATTGAAAGAGCTATTGCCGGAAGGAATATACAGGTACATGCAGGAACAAACATGCATGAGAGTCTGCGACTCCAAAACTCAGAAATAAAAAAAATAAATATACAGGGGGGAACTGACTGTGGACACATGGCCGACAAACTGGACAAGTATTCACCATTTAAAAGTTCTCTTTCATCCGGCACTTTCACAGTGACCAAACATTACAACCTACCAGGAACGCCAAAGTGTGCGATACAGTGCATTCTGGAACATTTAACTTCTTTTCTGAAAACAAGACCCAAGACTTTGCCTTGCCTCTGCAGCTAGAACCCACCTCTGCAGAGTCTAGTCCAGTTGCGCCCCCTGGGGGCAGCTCTGACAACTTCCGGCTTAGCACTCTTGGGAGGGGCTAGAAAACAGAGTGATCAGAGGTGAACAGGAAATGTTTCCTGTGTGATACCACAGACACGTTTTGTACGAAAAAAGCACGCAGCTGCACAAGATTACTGTTACACTTTTACAATTATAACTACAGTTCACTCATTTGGGGACAAACTGTTCTCCGTGCTTCTGTTCATGATGATAACCCTTCACAAAGACCTAGAGCACTGCCACGCCTTCACCATGCTTTGCCATGCTGGGCTGTGGGGGCTCCGTACCCCCATGACAGGGAATCAGAGTAGCCACACAGGGGCTGGTGAAGGACAGCACAAGTGTAGCCCTGATAAAAACACAGGAATCGCTCCAAAACTGCAGGAAGTGATCAATGCCTGCATGATAAATTCACTGCTGTCTACAGATAACACACTGCCAACCTTCATAAGGGCCTGTCCAGCAAATACTAACGAATGAGTGTTTCAGCAATTTTACTCCCCAGGGAAACTGTGACAGTTTCACATCTGCTGCAGAGTGTTTAAAGATCCCACTGCGCATCAGAAACTACATCAAAACTGCGTCAGTTGGATATGTCTGACTATACTGTATGCAAAAAAGGGAGATTTTTAAAACGATACAAAAAAATGTTAAAACACCCAATTATCTTACCTGGTTTCAAGTTTGGGTTTATTTCAGATATTATTTTTTGCTTCTCAAATCTTCCTGCTATTGATTTTTCAAATTCTTCTCTTTCACTTATGACCTCTCTCAGCATCTGCTCATGGAGAGCAACCTTCTTTTCAAAGAGCTCCTGCCTCTGAGAGAGAGGAGAGAAGAATAAGTTGTTAACTTTATACAGGCTATTGTGTTTTTATTGTGCCAAAGTGAAACACCTCACCAAACCTTCTGTACTCATTAATTCAACATCCAACTCCAAAATAAGCTCCATTTTAATACAGAAATATTTGTATTAAATGGTAAATGGTAAATCTTTGTTTCTGCTAATGCTATAAAAACAAAATTTCCTTCATTCTTTTTCACAATAGCATAACTTCATACATAACCAAATTCTCTTGTTGAAAGGGGTCTTATTTTATTGCTAGATTAATGCTACATTAGTATTTCAAGGCATACTGGTATTTCTAAGCTTTTAGTCTTGAATTACTGTCATCTACAAGTCAATGAAACTGCCAATATTCTGCAATAATAAATACCAGAGACGGTGTTGAACCCCATAAATCATCCTGATTACTAACATCTGCAATCTGTGTTAAATGCCATATTGGGAAAAAAAGCCGGTTTAAACAAATACATTTTATTATACTGATAAGAGAAAGAACAACATTCTCCACTCTAAAACCTTGACCTTTATTCAGACTACTAAGGGCGAAAAGCTAATTCACACAAGAGTCTGGGAAGGTGCACCAGTCTACAAAAGGCTGGAACCTCTCTCAGCCAATCACATGGCTTGCTTCGAGTTCTATAGGCACAGCACCAATAACAATACAAGGGGAAGAGGATGCAGTTCTCTGATTGGTCAGCCTGGAACAGCATAGTGTTGCAGACGGCATTGCAGCATGTTTAAAAGTTCAGTAGTTCACATCCTTCTTTGATAAACACACACATGTCCACGGCCAGGGCTTAAGGAATATATACCTTCCTGGCTCGCCCATCCACGGCCTCTCTCAGGAGCTGCTGCCTGGAAACCTCACTCTTCACGTCCTCCTCGATCCTCTCCAGCAGCGCCCTCTCCTTCAGCTTCCACTCCTGGTGACAAGGGTGGGAAATGATCAGAGAAACCCACCCTTTCACCGCCGCCAGCTCAGACACTATGTAAAGAACTAGTTCAAGCAGGGAGCCGCGTCAGCATGCGCTGGCTGCAATGGAACGAGTAAAGTTTTACTTGTTGACACCCGGGGAAGGCTCTACAGCCGAAACGTTGTCTTTCTTTTCTTCTTTTTTAGCATGGAATAAACCTTCACTTGTTCTATATAAAGAACTATATCTACAAACCTACAAACAGGCACGCTAACAAAGCACTGCACCTGCACAATGCTTATCTGCCATAACACACGTTTCCAGGTTTAATCTGACTGTACCCATACTGTCCACCTCCAGCCCAGCGCTCCGCTGTCCTGGAGAGTCACAGCAGTGCAGGTACTAGAGGGAGCTTGAACTCCGCAGTCCCTGAAGACTCGGACACAGCCGTAATTAAGAGCTCGTTTAATGAGATCGGTCAGAGCTCCGGTAACAGGACAAGGAGATGACCTCGCGTGCGGCTCTCCTGCACGAGAATAAGAGGACTTTTCCAGGGTGGCGGAGCGGTGGCTCTGTGGCTCAGGATCTGCGCCTGTAGCTGGAAGGTTGCTGGTTCATATCCCCCGGCCGGCAGAGGAATCCTACTCTGTTGGGCCCCTGAGCAAGGCCCTTAACCCCAGCTGCTCCAGGGGCGCTGTACAATGGCAGACCCTGTGCTCTGACCCCAAGCTTCTCTCCCTGTCTGTGTGTCTGTGTCTCCATGGAGAAAAAGCTGGGGTATGCGAAAAGACGAATTCCTAATGCAAGAAATTGTATAGGGCTAATAAAGAAACATTACAACATTACATTAGGGTTTTCCGTTTTCTGCCCTTACAAATCACAGCGGCTGTGCTCACAGTTTGAACAGTTTGTACAAAGCGTCTCATCTCACAGAAGCAGTGCAGACTGTTTCCATGAGGCGACACAGATCCCAAGATAACAGATGCTTAGTTATGGTTTAAAGGGAAGCGGGAAGTTGGAAAAACGACTTCACACCCATGTCCACGTGTGTCCCGCCCCTGAGCTATTTATCTCCTATGTTTCCTACCAGCTCCCTGTATCTGTCTGCCTCCTCCTGCGGACTCCCGCACCGTCCCAGGCTCGGGCACGGCTCCACCTCCTTCTGGTCCTCCTCCTCTGCCCGGCTCCTAGCCCTGTCTCTGACCTGCCTCGCCTGTCTCTCCTGCACCTCCGCCAGGTCCCTTACAGTGCGGCACAACGGGCTTTGGTTAGGGGTCGCTCGCCCAACAGATCACACTCCGCCGCTGCCGACCGGATTTTAAGGGTCAGCCTCAAATTGTCCATCCACTTTCTAACGGCTTCTTCCAATTCCTAGTTGAAGAGCCGGAGCCGATCCCGCCAAGCTCCAGGTGCAACGTGGGGTACACCCTGAACTGGACACTGACCAGTCCATCGCAGGTCAGACAGCGGCGGACACACACGCGCTCGCCCCGGGGGCCAGTTTTCCCAGCAGCCAATTAACCTGCCAGCATGTCTGTGGACTGTGGGAAGAAACTGGAGCACCTGGAGGAAACCCACACAATCAAGAGGAGAACATACAAACTCCCCACAGACAGCACCCCAGCAACCGAACCCGAGGACCCCAGCACTGCAAGGCAGCTATGCTCACCACTGCGCCACCTTGCTGCCTACCTTGGATTCATGATATCTAGAAACCTGGAACATTTTCCTTTTTATCACTGATGCGGGCCACTCAACAAAGTAGGGAGCCATCATCTAAAATGATACTACCCTGCAGCTCTCAAGGTCTTACAGAGAACAGCTGATCAGTGTTACGCGTTTAAGGCATTAAGCAAGCACTGATTTACATCTCGGCAAAGGCATAATGCTGAATTGACAAAATTAGCTCCTTCTAATTTAAGAGTCGGTTTAAAATCCTGCCTGGTCCCACTTTCCTAGTGGGCACAGAGCCATATGGCCACCCAACCCACATGTGCCGTCCCTCATGCTGCTGAAGTCAATGGAAGGCTGAGCCCCTGCGATCTTGTGTTCTTACTTCTTCCTCCAGCTCCTGTCTTGCTGCCAGAGGCTCTTCCTGCCTTCCTCCAGCAGCCACTCCCTCACGTCCTCCAGGCAGACGCCCTCGGGAAGCACGTCCGGCTCCTGGAGCCTCCTGATCAGAGCCGTCTGCAGACAGAAACGGGGCGGGTCCCCTTCAGACACTGCGCCTGCTTTCAGGGATCTGCCGACGTGCCAATAGACCGAACCACGCAGGCGACAGCAGTGTTGCTAGACCCCTCAAACCTCCGCTACACATTTCCAAAGAGTCCTAAAAGCCCCTCGCCTGGACTGCTGCTCACCTGCTCTTTTTTGTGATTTCTCTCATAATCCAGCTTCACACTCATGAGATACTGCCTGTACTCGTTGAAGTCCTTCAGCGAGCAAATAACCTGGGAAACAAACATGAGAAGAAACCTGTGGCGTCTTTTCCGCACTTGGAAATGCGCCACAGCTTAAATGCTGTGTCTCTCTTTTTTCCTTTCCGCATTTTTCGATTCCATGATAAGAAAAATCCATCATGATTAAAATAATCCCTGGTCAATGCGTGCAGCTACAAGCCTTAACCCCCCCCAGCCAGGTGCGTTCACCTGTCTGCAGGCGTGTGGCATTATTCTAAGAGTAAACTGCACTTTCCCTGCATAAAGCATTGATACAGTACATGAAAAGCAATGTTCACATATGAAGATTACAGATGAATAATCACATGTGAAACAGACCAGCCTGTTCATTGATGCTTACTGCAGAAATTCTGTCCACCTGTCATTCTGTCAGCACTGAGAGCTCCAGTTGTTCATCTTGTATTTGGAAATGTATGAACTATCCCTCATGAGTCGCCACACTGGACAGTTCATTTAACATTTTTTTCCAGCTTGTCAAACTGGAGATTTGGGGCTTTATTCAATTCAATTCAATTCAAGGTGCTTTACTGGCATGACCACTCGGTAAAATCAGTGTTGCCAAAGCAAAACAAATACAATTAACATAAAACAAAAAAAATCAATTTTACATTTACAATAAAGAAGCAATCATAAAATATTTACATATAGACATATGGAGCATTACTGGGAGACAGACTCACTGTTCCTAAGGCTGTGACAGGAGATCTCCTACTGGGCTCCCAGTTCAACTGAGTTCTCCCTCTCCCAGTAGGATTGGGACCCGTTGTGATTCTGGCAGGTGTGGGAATTCTGGGATTAGCTGTGTATATTTGGGGGAAGAATGTTTGTCTAATCCCAGAGTATCTGTCACAGTGCAGTAGGAAGTGCACCTCTGTCTCTGTCTCTCCCTGCTGGCAGTGGGAGCACAGCCTGTCCTCTCTGGGCAGCAGGGTCTGCCTGTGTTTCGCCCAGTTTCTATCTCACTCATATTAACTTGAGATCCGGGCCGCTTGCTAAAAGAGCAGCGCGTTCGTCTGCCACAGAGCTGCGTGCAGAAATGCAGGGAAGCAGAAGAGCAGGTGAAGCTCCAGGAAGTGGGCACAGCTGTACCAGAAACACCGCCAGGTTTCCAGTGCAGTACACGGAGCCCCCTACAGCCCAGCCTAGTGAGCCACCTGGGCTGTCCTGCCCTCCCTGAAGCCCTGTCACGCCAGGGCCGCCCTTACTTTATTGTTCTCCGTGATGAATCCTCCCTTCTTCAGCCGTTCCAGCATGTCCTTGCGGTAGTAATACTGCCGGAGGTTGGGATCGTACAGGCTGTTGTAATGGGACTTCAGCAGGTGCCCATGGGGATCGGTGAGGGTGAAGCCGCTGGACGGTACCGTCAACTGAGAAACAAACACGGTGTCGTGTGACACACAGACCTGTTGAACAGCCCTCTTACCTGCAGCTCTTCTTCTGCGGTTTCAGGCTGCTGACTTGTACCGTTGCAACATAAAATGTCTTATTATTCACTGGCATTTATTTTTAAATCTGGGTAGGCAGTGAGCAGAACAGCACATTGACTGTTTGGACAGGGATCAGCTCAGCACAGGCAGGGGGGGTG